ATATTGCGGGGCTTCTTGATACTTGCCAGTGCAAGCCAATGACAAGAGTTTCTCAAACTAGGTCGAATATGCTCAACAAGAAACATATAGGGCTCTTACTTTATGTTTATCCAATTTAAGTGCATGGCCATTAACCAATTTCTCAATTAACTCAAGTGGGAACTGGTAACAAGTCTAGCAATACCGATCTCCTACCATTGTGGCAATAAGGAAAGAATATATGAAAATACTAGCTGACAAGTAACTTTCATTACCTGTAATTACATTTGTGACAACATGGCACATGACATATGGTATATAAAAGGTTTAGGTTCCACTTCATGGTTATCATATGGTAAATCACCATAGGGTGAAAACCACATGCACTACAACAAAGTCTTATTTGCTAAAACCATAAAAAGCCCTTCACTCAAGCTTTTGCATCCAATGCCAATAGAGATAATAACTAGTACTTCAATAGTACCTTTAGGTGTCTAAAGTAGAATTGGACATATAAAACACTTGGATCAAATATAAAGTTGGTGTGATTTTGATATCACCTCTGGGGGCTAACAAATGCCCTAAATTAGAATGAAGATATATAGAAGTTGTGAGTGAAACTCTTCTAAGTGGTATAAGGCATGGTTAAGTGACTAAATTAGAATGAAAATTTTTATTACTTATAGCATCCCAATAAAAAAAATAGTCCAATCAATTCCATATAAGAATTTAGAATGAAATATCAATCAAGTTATATAGCATTCGAAAGTCTAACTTGATTAAGGAAGCCATAGAACTTAAATTACATGCCATCAAATTTTGTTGACATACCAATCTTTTGCTCATAACCAAGACACTGTTGTTAGTGTTTCATATGCAAAAGTATATTGAAAATTTTATCTATACTTACAATATGTATTAATGAACCAAAATGCCTTGACATACTCTATCTAGTCTTCTTCAAAATTCTTCTTACTCCAGAGCTTTAGAAATATTTTTATTAATTTCCTGACCAATCTTCCACCTCTTAAGATTTGAACATTGTTTTTGAATATTGCAATCAATTGATTTTTCAAAATAGCACATTTCTTGCCCTATCAGAAGATAATTTATGGAGAGTAGTCAATTAAACTTATCTAAAAGGAGATCTTTCATCTTTATGTGATATTATCATTGATTGTGGTCCTTAATTATTTTCCACCATTTAACATTAGTTTTTTTCCTTCCTTTATATCAAAAAGAATTGTTAACTTCTTATCATCCTCAAATTGATACCTATTTAAACTCTTGAGTAGTATTTTTAATATTTTATTTCTCACCAACAGGATGATTAGGTTAATTTTCTTCCTTCTGCTAAGTTTGCTTATAATAACTCTAAACATTCTTCAATGCAACACTCTCCATTTTTGTGAATTATGGCCAGTACAAAGCTAATACAAGAATAAGTATATATTAAATATATATTTATATATGCCAAATATCAATTATTTATAAATATTTAAATCCATTATATTATAATATTTTGGTTATGATATTTAATTCAATGCCAAAATTATTCTCTATATAATATTAGAAAGAGAAGGGAAGATGATGAAAAACTATAAATAAAGACAATAGAAAATAATTGAACAACTTCTTTAGAAATTAATATAGTCCAACCTTAAACTAATCTAGGATGAGTTACTGATTTATATATATGGCTCTTGGGTTCAAATAGTATGAGTAGAAATGTGAGATTTGATTCCTATAGTAGACAATGGTGGCAAAATATACTTTAGTAAACATAGAAAGATGGTCTCATTATCCGGTTCGCACACAAGTCTTATCAAAAGTCTCCATGCGGTTGATTGTAGAAGTTCTTGCTAAAGTAGAGAGATATGTTATAAATTTGCTTTCTTTTTTCAGTTCCAAGAAAATTCTCCCTAGAGCTTATGTCTGATCTAACGTAGCAAGTTCATACATAGCTAGGACTATTACGGTTTGTAGCAAGAGCTCTCTCTCCTTCAAACAATCTCTTGTGGACTCTAGCAAACAAAGATGGCTGTGGACCGCAACTGTTGTCAGTCATCTTGAAGTTGTCAAAATCCAAGCCGACTTTAGCAGCAGCAAGCCGCAGCTCTGGGAAATTGGACTTGGGGAGGCTTGAACTCCGTGTGTAGACGACAGCCCCACCATAGCCGTCCCATGCATCGTTGGACCCATTGTAGTACACGAACACGTAGTCATCCGGTTGCTTGTTGAGCCGGGCGGAGACGATGAACCTGCGCAAGAGCCACCAATCAATGCGTCAATTGCTCATTTAGGATTCGCAGCTATGCTGGCATCACGCACCGGACCTACGTACACAGAAGCTTTGGAAGCTTGCGAAACACTCACCAATCGTCTTTGTAATTGAGGTACTCGTTGTCATGATTGGAGAGCACACCCGGGCGTTTGGGATTCTTCTGCACGAAATTTTGTATCGCGTGGCGTGTGATGAAGCCGCCGTCGGGGGTGGTCACCCTCCACGTCAGTTTTCCGGTGAGCTTGTGGGGACCGGCCGAGAACTCATGGACTTGGCAATCGTAGAGATCGAAAAGGGGGTTAAGACCGCTGGTAATATACCATGTGCCTGTGAAGTCTTGGGTGTTGAACTTTTCCACCAAACCGCAGTCTGGAGGTACCGGGTAGGAGCCGTTGTTGGCACTTTGAGGGATGCACTTTTTTTTGCTCAGGAGGCATGTGTTGAATTCCTCTACGACCTTGTTCTGGAAAATGTCTCTGCATCTGACCTATGTTCCGATACAAAACGAGAGAACAGAAACAGAGTGAGCAACTTGATCGTATAAAATCAAATAATACTTGGCAATTCAAGTCTCCTGGGCTGCAAGTTTCCAGACAAACTAAATTGGCAGCGCATGAAGGATCTCCCACGCATCGAACCAGCTCGGAGCTGAAGAACATGCACAACTATGAGATCAGGTGGATTCAAAATAAACAATGAAACCCGGGGAGCACAACAGCACCTGCATCCACCCAGAAGACATTTCCATGTTTTTTGAGCAGTCTCGATGTCCAGAGCTCCAGCATGGTTTGCTGGGTGCAAGAGCAAACACGTCCCCAGGAGCAAGCCCAATGCATTGACTTTGAATCCCGGTCCGGTACTTGTCGTTGTTACATTCTTCACACTTCGGACAAGCGGGGGCGGAGCCGTGGTACTGGCAATCATCTTCTCGCTCTTCTTCCCGCATAGCGGCTTCCTGCTCTTCACATTCGGCCCAGTACTGGTTGTTGCCACTCTTCGAACAAGCCGATGCGAAGTCGTGGTACTGGCAAACATCTGCTCCTTCTTGTCCCCCTTCAAGCCGCAGCTACACTTTTCATTCAAGTTGCAAGCAACCGCCTTGCAGCGATACGTTTCAGAAAGCCTCCTCACAAACAAGGGACCGACCCGAGATGGATGTGCGCGGGGCGTGGGACACTGCTCTTCCTTCCTCCTACTGGGGTACGAAGTCCGTGGTTTAGTCCGAGCTGCGTACAAACCTTGCTAGGACAGAGTCTTTTTCATATGCGGCCACCCGCCAGTTTTTAAAAAAACGCACGTTTTCTATGTCCGATTTGCGGCTTTTTCTATAAAGTAATAATAAAAATAATCTTTTGGTGAGGCGACTTGACACCAGCTTCTCCAGCTCCAATTCTCCACCAACCGCTTCCGGCTGCTATCAGGGCAATGAATCCGTCAAAAGTTTGGTTTCCAGTCTCTCGCTCACCTTCAGCCCAGGAACAAACCGTACGGAACGCCAGGTTTGATGGTGAATGTAGAGCTGAATGATTTATGGACAAACCTGGTGAGCAGCAGCTACCTTCTGAAAATATGGCACATCGGCCAACTGAAAACCGCTGGTGCACCAGGCCGTCGTGAACAGACATGTAGGCCATCCCGAAGATGGTGATGCCCAGGCACTGACGTGACATGCAATATTTTCAAAGCTACAAGAAATGCTTCCATTACTTACTGCTCCAAAGCACAGGCCAGGAAGGAGTCCTTTGTATGAGAATCCGTAAGACATGAGAGCTATCGCGGGGACTGCGTTCACAATGGCAAAAACATCGTTGACCTCGAATGGACCTTGCCAAGGAACATGATGAGACTGTTGTAGAGAGATTCGTCGCAATTAACTGTCCGAAAATTTGTGTGTCCGTTACCCTGTGCATGCTCCACAAGAAAGAGTGCCATAGCGCTTTGTGTGCTCATCTAGCCCACCTGACAAACAGAATAAAATCAATCTTGAACAGGATCTTTGAACATACTCACAGCTGCACCTAATGCCAAAGACACAGTGGAATTCTAAAAGATAGGATCTATAAGGAACATCTGAGCCGTCTGTTTGAAGGTCCCTTGGAATATTTACAACTTCATTTTGCTCCTGACACGCAGCACACTCCAATTCACAGCGACGCAGCTGGCGAGGCGATTGCGAGACACGAATCGAAACCACACCGGCATCGCCAATTCGAAGCAGGTCCTCCAGGCGTGCGAGAGGAACAACTACGACGGAGAGGAACCCGTTTGTGGTGTGGGGAGCAACGCCCATCTACGCGGGCGGTGTCGTGCCCCTGCTGCGCTGTCCGGTTCGTGCCGGAGGTGGCCGGGCAGATTTGCAGCGTTTGTGACTTATGCTGATGCATCCTGGCTTGTGTGCTGGTCATTAAGCGGGGGAGGATTGTGCACCATTCCCAAAGTTCGTGGATTCTACCATCAAAGATTCAAACAAGATAGCGCGAATGGGCATATGCAGAAGCCACCGTGTTTCACGAGTGTCTATCTTTCTTTGGAATTCTTCCAGAAAAATCTTCTTATATTGACGCGTTTCATACATTTGCATTATCAATTTTTAAAATACAATGCCGCGGGCATCTTCGGAGGCATCGGTCCAGATTCCCGCTCTGGGCAAGTTTAGTCTCCGGGACACTCACTGATCGCAGTTCTCCAAGAGATCATCTGCCAAATCCTCTCTGAGTCAGCAGTGGAAGAGACGAGATCCTGGCGGTAGCGATTGCCATTTCTTTGAAAATATTCTTACATCTGAGCTGCTCGGAACGATCAAATTCAAAACTCATTCGCTATAATGCCGGCCCGGATTTATTCTTTCCTTGTGACGCAGCACACTCCAATTCTCGTTGTCTCCCAGCTCACACAAGACTAGAAGAATATAGCGGGCCACACGCTGGAGCCATGGTAGTTTCCACTCCGAATATACCATATTCGTCATCTAAAAGCCCCAGCCCCAGCGCCTCTCTTCTCTCCCTGGTTTTGCTTTCTCAGTGCTGTCGCTGCTTTCTTTTTATCCCAAGTTTTGCTTTCTCAGTGCGCTGGTTTCCTTTAGCTTTTCTCCCCCTATCTGGCTGGCCGAATTCCATGCCCTTGGGCGTCCCATCGCACCACTAGAGACTACCTGTAGCGCCTTTCGAGCTCCCTCCATTCGCTGCATTGTCAAAGATTGGATCGAAGAGTGATCACCCAAGAACATGGCAGAACGCCGCCGCACGTGAAAAAAATATTTTATGGTCCGTAAGGCCGTAAGGTATAGGTCCGTAAGGTACGTGGAGGTAGAGATTTTGTAGCTTTCATTGGAGAGATGAGATCATCCCTCAAAGAAAATCAGTCTGGCTGGGAGCACAAGAACAAGAGGTATGATGATGAAAAAAATGTATTACCTGCCACCGTTGTTTCTGGCTGCTGCTGTTGGCGAGCAGAAGTAGGAGCCAAGGCAGCCAACCAAAACGGCCAAGGCAGCTTGATGTGAGGTTTCGCTACCGCTTCTACCTGTGAATTCTTTCCTCATGTTGGAATAGAACTTGAGATTCCTCTTCTTGGCTACTGATAATCGCTCTCGCTTGTAAATTCTTAGCTTCCTAGCTTCCTCTTCTTTACTTGATAATCGCAGGAATGGAATCGCTATTTTCCCCATGAAAACTTCGAAGAAATGCGCATTGGAGCAACTCGCGCACCAGAGTTTCAAGAATCGCTTTTCATTTCAGATTCTGGGCGTTTAGAAGCCCATTTCTCTCATGATCTCTTGAAACAATCATTCCATAGCTAAAATTAAATATGAGTGAAAGCACAAAGAAAGAATAAAATTCTCCCGATCACGGCGCTTCTATTCACAGTGTCTCAAGGATATTTGTGATATTTGTTTGGCGGGTGAAGACCTCGATCATGACTTCTCGCGGCACATCTGGCACGAGCAGCTACGCTTTCATATGATGTTTTAGATTGCATCTTTCTGTTTTGGGATGCCAGGTCTTGCTCTTGCCGATCACCTCTGTGCGGCTGTCCACCGGGACGGTGTGGAGCGGTACCTTCGGTGTTGAGCTTGTAGATGAGCGCTGGACCGTTGCGGACGTTTGGCGGCGGCGAGTCCGACCAGCCTTTCTCGAGGGCATACGTCAAGATGCTCGCGTGATCTCGAGGGCGATTCTAAAGACCATCCGATCAATCTGCTTGAGGGCCCCGAGCGAGCTCTGGAGGTCGCAAAAAACCGGCGCGAAGTTTTTGATCCCGAGTTGCCGAGTAGAAGGCGCATTGCACTGTCGAAGGCTCCAAGATCCCGTCCCCGCATAGAAGATGGCGTCAACTTTCGCCGATGGAGCCTCGACTCTCTTGGAGACGTCGTTCTTCAGATTCTTGACTAGAATCAAGCCGTGCGCCTTGTCCAGAACAGCAAAGCGGTTGCGGGGCACGAAACACCCCACGACCCGCTGGCTTTCTTCGGCCGTAGTGTCATTACTTCTCGGGATTTGTACGTACCGTTGTGACGGTCCGAGCATAAAAGCACGGCGTTCTCCGCTGGATTGCAAGACAATGTTCTCTGATTCAGCCCCGCTCTTCGAATGTTTATCAGTGATGTGTCCTCTGAAGTGGCAAAGTCGTAAGTCCTCAAAGCCTTTTCTTTGACGTAATACAGCACCCCCGCACTGATTGTATAAGCCGGCCTCTCTCTTTCGAGCTTGAAGATCTTTGATCTTTGTTTCAATTGATCTTGTCCAAGGTCTGGAACTACAAGACGAGAAGGTGCCTGTTCACGCAATCAGGAGTATCCCTGGATCGTAAGTGCTAGCGACGATCAAGCCATCAGGAGGGACCCGAGATGAACTTTCTTGCGGCAGGATAGGGCAGTGGAATTATCGGGTGGCTTACTTAAAGAGGCTGAGAGATGTGAAAATGATAGATGAATGTCAGTGAACTCTTCTTCATGCTTTGCTGCAATCTTCGGTTGGACTCTACCATCTTCTCAACCAGTAAAGCTTTATTTCAAAGCTCAAAGAAAAGAAGTAACACAGTTGTGCTTGGTGCTATAACTATAGAGGTGCTATGGTGGAATTGGGAGTGGGAGTATCTATCTATATTTGTTAATCAAGAAGTTTGACTCACTTTGCTTTTTTCCCTTGTTTTTCAAAGATTTGTGTGGTTTGTGAGTTAGAAGAAGTGCAAAAGGAAGTGAAGTAGTGTGGTAGAGCCCTAGAGGGGAGATGCAGCTGAAGTTGATGAAGTTCAAGTGGTTTTAGAGCTGAGAAGTTCTTGGTAATTATCTCGCATGCAATGAGGATTTCAGAGGTGAAGAGCTCAGTGAGGGCTTTCCAACAAGCCAAGATCAAGAAGATTGGACATGTGGATCAAAAGATATTTTAAATTGAAATTGTACATGTGGATCAAAAGATATTTTAAGTTGAAATTGTAGGAGTGAAACTTGTGGAGTGTTTAAAGCTAGAATATTCTGTATTGAAATATTTTGGGAGGTTCCAGAGGGGATATTCTTAGAATCTTTTCAAGTATTGAGTTATTTGGGAGTGGAACAGGTGCGTGGAAATGGAGTGGCAGCATAGAGTCCCTTTATGTGATCTGCAATTGTATCACCTGCAATTGGAGAGTGCCCCAGGTAATATAGAGACTAAGCATTCAATTGAAGCAGACTTGGTGACTCACTGCCCCACCTATGGTCAAGTGTGGTAATGAATGATGAGAGAAATCTTGGAAGAACTCTTGAACCCAGCTGTCACTGAGCCAATTGATGTTTAAATGTAACCCTGTTTCAATCAATGAAAGTTCCAAAGAGATGAACTTGGTGCTTGGTGTGTTTGAGTTGAGTGAGTGAGTGAAGTTGGACTACAATATTCTGTTTTGGCAGTCTTGCAGTACCCAACAAGAAGTATGAGACTGCAAAAAAGTTTGGAAGCTTTTCCTTTTGTCTTCTCGCTCCCACCACCCTCCCCTCCTCACTTTTGCTCTTCTGTATCAAAGTTTGATAAGCTAACTCTAAAGAAGGGAACTAGTTTGAAAAGGAATTGAACCCAAGACAGCTCTATTGCTCTGTCTTGGATGTTTTGTAGAACACTCAACTGGAGAATGTAGCTTGTAAAGGTGATTTGTATTACTCACAAGAAAACAATCAGCTCTTAGGGCAGGTGAAGTTGTATAATTGGAAAAAGATGTAACAAGTTAGAACACTGTTTTAATTCAACAACTAGATTTTGTACAAAGAGCGTAATCCAAATGTTACTTGTATGCAAAGCCAATCTGTAATGAGCTCAAGCTCTACTCTGTGAATATATTAAAAGAACAAATAAACTTAATAAATTGCTACAAGTTGCATGTAGCACCGCTTGGTTTGCTTAATATTGTTACTTATTAATCAAATTGATCAAATAGAGTTTATAAATATAAGCATGTTTGTAATTTATAAACACAAAATTAATCTTATTCCATTAGATGATAAAATAAAAAAGAATATACTAGAAAGGGTTTAAGAAAGTTTATAAATTATAAGCATGCTTATAAATTATAAATACAAGATTAATCTAAATAAATAATAACCATTAGATGATAAAATATTCTAGAATATTCGAGTCTTTTCTAGGTATATCCACTATCAACAAATTTGCTTAACCAAACTAAAAACCATATTTATTAAGAAACTTAAAAGCTGCTTTTAATGGTACCTTTATATTTTTTTTTTCCTTAAGCAAACCTATAGTGCTTAGATATTATAGGATATTCTACCATCTAATGATTGTTATTCATTTAGATTAATCATGTATTTATAATTTATAAACATGTTTATAATGTATAAACTTTGCTAAACACTTCCTGGTATATTCTAGTTTATTCTACCATCTAATGGTTGATATTCAATAATATTAATCTTGTGTTTATAATTATAAACTTATCATTGCTGTATGCAATGCACAGCAAATAATATAAAAACATAAACTATGTATAATTTATTATTAAATAAAAATCACATAAATCCCATCTTTATATAATAACTGTGAATTATATGTATTATTTAAGATATCACATTTTTTCATTAAATCCACGAGTGCAGTTATTGATATTCAATTGAAATTAAATAAAAAATGTAATATTTAGAATTTAGATAAAAATCTTTAAGCATCACATCACAAACGTTTTAGCTATAATCTCATTATGCTAGCACAACTCCCACAATATTCAATGGATATTTAATTTAATTTAGTAATTAGTTATTGAATACTGAATATGTTTAGTTAATGGAGATAATAACCATCATATGCTATCTATACTTAATTAATTAATTGACTATTAAAAAATTGTAGATCTAGAACTCTATTTATATGCTTCATTTGTAGTAATTATAACATAAGTTCATAATTTTAAGCTTTTATTCCAATACTTTAAATTAAGAGTTGGCTCTAATAACTAGTAGATTTTATCAATAATGTTTTTAATATTATTATAGTTTGCAAAGAAAGTTAAAACTATCTTTATGGCTATATAATAATTTTGGAGTGTATTTTATATATTAAAAATTGAAGATAAATTTAGATATTTCAATTAGAAATTTTTTAATTATAATTTAAATATTTAAATAAATACAGCTAAATTAAAAATATGTAATATTAAAATAATTCTAAAATTAAATTTCTTTATTAAATATAGTATTTTAGTTTGAGTGAGAGAACTTTATTATGAACTTTAAGTTCTAAATTCATTTTGAAATATAGAAATAAATAGACAACTGATAGAAATTAAATTTTGTAAATAACTTTTTGAAAGTTATTAATTTTTTTTAATTGATAAATTTAGAGTAAACTCCTTTGGGTAATCTTTATATATAAACTTATTAAATTTATACCATAAACACGTTTTGTAAAAAATATATGTGAAGGTAAAGTTAAACATTCTAAAAAGGCTAATATTTGCCATGTTTGTGAAAAAACAAATATAAATATAGTTCTTTTTTGAAATTATTTAAGATAAATGAGAAAACTATTGATGATTTAAGGGGAAAATCATAATAGATTAATAAGAATATGCTTAAAATAATGTCACAGTGAGAACTATGTAATTTTATGTGAACAAATGGAATGGGCGAGTGTCATCCTCAAATTTCCACAAGCCCAAATACTCTAAATCATACAGGAGCACAGAATTAGCTGGTACAGTGCATGGTCCTGTAAATTCCACTTTGATCAAGCAAAGCCATTGTTTATCGATAGTTACTCACCACTCCAAAATCTGGGGCACATTCCTGGGTTCTTTCCAAAACCAAGCTCCGGTGGAACACGGACTTTACGCTTGCCTCCTGCGCTTATGCTGTGTAACACACAATCACACAAGCTAACATATACCTGGCCGCATTGGTGGGAATTCATCGCCAGAGCCCAAGATTGCTTCATAGATCCCCTTCATCACCTGTATAGAACCATGTATCCTATTTGATCTAGCATAGAAACTTGAATCGAGAACTCACTCCCGCGGAGTTGAGCTGAAACGAGAAAGGCTCGCCCCGATTATAGCTGCTGTCGAAAACAAACCCATCTTCTCTCCTCCC